TATATATACAAATACATACATAGAAAGGTTTAAAAATGGAAGTAAATGGTTTAAAACAAACAGCCTCAGAACTGTTGCACATTCCTTATTTTCCCCAAACCCTCAATCTACCCTACCTTCATTAGCACAGAAAAAACCCATTCAGCTGGTCAGGTGGAAACTGAAACAGGTGACAGCAAGTGAGAAAGGCTGCTGTGGTGAAAATTGCTATTGCAAACATTCCAGTTACAAAATTGTTTTGGATTTCAAACAAAACAAAATGGTCTAAAGCCTGGACTTGAAATTAAATGGAAGTTTTCAATATAGAGTAACTACAAAACACTACAAAAAACCCTACAGTTTATTAAAAAAAAGCTATATCGACTGGCATCTTGCTGCCAAGTACATACACAGCCAGACCACTAAGATTTTCTAACATTAAGCAGTATTTCAGGTCCAAGGATAGGTAAGAATTTTGTGACCAGAGAAGTCCTCCTTCAGACAACATTTAACACCATGCTCAGCCCAGAGGCTTGATGAAGCAAAAAATTCCAGGCTTGACGAAGCAAAGAGCTTCAAGATTGTATCGCGCTTCAAGTTCAGACTACAAGACTGGGCTCTATCCTGACAGAAGGATGTGTGCTCTTCACCCCCTCTCAACTTTCTCACAATAACATATTTACGGTGAAGAAGAAAAATCTGTTACTTTTTCTAGCAATACCTGGATTCTCTGATCCTCCACAGACTGCTGGTTAGGTTACTAATCAAATCCTCAAGAATTTCTTTCATGTACTTATCAACCTATAATTAAAAAAAAAGAAAAATCATGAAACAAGAACAGACTGAGCATCCTTGTCCTGTACTCAGTAAAAAAAATGTCCCTTTGGATTATAAAACCTGCTTTCAGCCACAGTGGATGAACAAACGCTTGCCAGAGCTCACTCCACGCAAACTTACTCTGTCTTTGCTTTAGACTGCTTCAAGGCTTAACACTGACACAAAGACTACAAGAAAAGAGGAAAGCCCCTTAGTCCTTTATCACCTGAACTGTTCAGACGCAGCACCACACATGCATTTACAGAAGCGGCTGCGCTCTGATGAGGAATCAGAGTGAATGATTTCACACCAAGATCAGCTTTGTTAGGAGAAAATATTTGGAAATCCAACTCCAGGCCTTTCACAGGTAGAACAAGGGCATCTCACAAAATCACCCATTCCCAAAACCTGTTTGGGAGGAGTTATCCTCAAACTGATGGAACAGCCTCTTCCCATGAGCTTCCTCTGGCTTAAAACTGAGGAACCATGTTTTGATGTTATTGCTCTAGAAAGGGTATCTTAGGCCATAAGCATTCCTGAAGAGCTTCTCATAAGCAGTATCAGAGCAACAGTGAAGTGTGGAAAGACCACGCTTCAAGTAAATTGAAAGCTTTTAACAGTGGCTGCACCAACAACATCTGCAATATCCTTCCACATGTAAGAGGTAAAGCAAAACCTCTGCAGGTCCTCCAACTCAACCATGCACTTGTTTTCCCTGCAGGACAATACCTCACCCCTTTCTGCACAGTCCCTCCTTTCACAAGATGCAACAGCCCCACGAGGATCTCTGAGATGCTGCCGGCTAGCAGCAAATCCACAACTCTGCTCACTCACCACTGACTTGTCGGTCACCAAAGCATTCCAAATGCTGGTCATTGCCTGTCGAATGCCCAGGTTGGGGTCAAACTGGTAACGGTAGAGACGGGGAAGAAGCTGGGGCAAAAATGGAGTCAGCTGCTCTCCAGCCTTGGCAGCTATCACATTGAAACCAAAAGCCGCTCCCTGAAAAGATGACAGAAGACTATTAGTTGAAAAAATCTGCTCACTCACACAGTTACGCCTCCTGGTTTATACTGAGAGTGAATCCTTTTGATTCAGCCTAGAAAAGTACCAGAATTAGCTCCCCGTCAGTGCAACAGTACCACAGTGATCTTGAGCATACAATCACACTTAACAAACAAAATACTACTTCAAAACTTCCTTCCCTCCAATCTTCTATTCACGATACCAACTGATCTCATCTGCAAAAAGTGTGGTGGAGAATTAAAGCTATGAAGATTTGTGCACGTTCTTGCAAAATCGATTCTTCCTCAGAAAAACTGGTGAGGGTGCGGCACTGCTTCCCTACAACTCTGCTGAGTTTAGAAGAAATAGAATAACTTACGATCTGAAAAAACAAAAATGAAAACCTTAGCTCTACAACCTGAAATCTCTGGTGATTATAATTCTGCATCTGTCCATATTTACTTTAAAAGCAAGTATTCTTCTATGCTCTTTACTTTATCCAACACTGTCAATGCCACTGTCATTCTAACACAGAGGAACTGATGCTTGCCCGTGAAGTCTCACTCCCAATGAGGAACAAGAGGCTGCAGAAAGTATAAGGAAAACAGAAGGCTCTTAACAGTGTGCTCTGCCTAGCATTTGTGTGGAGATCTGGAGCACAGACTTCCAGATGCTCCCTTCAACTTAAATGATTATGCAACTACCTCAAATGCCAACGCTCAACCTACAGTTCCTGAGTGGATTTTTTTGACTCATCCCAGTTGGTGAAATTCCACAGGGGTCAGGACCTAACTATGCTTATATTCTTCTGAAGTCCCAGTGCAAAGAGAGGGAAGTCTTGAGAGATGTGCCGACTTTCCAAACTCTGCATAGAAGTTAACGCTGGGGCTTGTTTTCACACTAAGTCGTGTCGCCAGAGACTTAATAGCAATTACAGAGCATGAAGTGTGCAATACAGTAGGTGCAGATATCAGTGTCTTCTGCATGAAAGCACACAAAAGCTGCTCCACCTGCTCCCAGCGACAAAACAGTTTCTTCCACCCTTACGTAAAGCCAGTAAAAATGTCACCAAGTCAAAGTTCTGAAAAGTATACTTAAGTCTTCAAATTTATGATGCTACTTTTTTTGGCAGGAAGTGGATGCAGTAGTATTTTGGCTTTGCTAAAGGTCCCAGTAGCTTTAAAATATCAGGACTTGAGTTAAAAATGGATACTTCTGAGAACAGCAACTGAAATGGTGTATTGTCAACTGGCTTTTTAGCAACTTTTTTTCTGAGTACTTTCTGCTCTGCCTTTTTACATGACAGATGTCACTTTCTTTGGCATCCGAAAATACATACAGTTTTGAAAATATTATCTCCTGTTTGAACACATCAAGACCTGGTCTCTAAGATCATTCAAATGTAAAAGGAAAGGATCACAGCAGATTCAGAGGTGAATGTAGGATGATATGAACCCTGTGAAACCAACATTTTGCTTAAGAATTTCAGGTAATGCTACATCTGCTTCTCAGCATGATAGGTTTGGGTCTAGCTAGGATTTTTAGTAATGGGGGGTGGCTATGGAGGACACTCCTTTGGAGAAACTTCCAGAACCTTCCTGGTCCCAGGAAACCGGCCAGACCTGCCCCTGGTTAAGTCCAGGTCAATCAGCATCTCTGTGAACCTATATATTCAAAAGGGAAGCCTGTTGGAGGAATTCCCCTTTTCCTTGTTTTTTTTGTGTTGAGGACTTTGGGGTTTTGTTTTGGAGAGGAGGGGCAGGTAAGAGAGAGCAAACACATGATTGGAACAAGATGTTCCCTGAGTGTCCGTGGTAACTGTGGTCCAAGGAGATCAGCAGTTAATGTGTCCATGAAGGACTCCATGACAGGAGGGAGAGACCACAGGAGCAATGGATGCGCCTGAGGGGACCCACTCCTCCAAGAAGCACTCGCACCAGAGCAGGTCAACCGTGGCCCACGGGTGGGTGCCACAATGGTGGCAAGGACTCACGTGGGGGATGAGGACTATTGCCCCCAAGAGGGAGACCACATGGCAGCAGAAGGCTGAGGGGGGCCCTCTGCCCGAGGAGGACTGAGGGATTGCATCCCCCATCCCCTGCACCACTGGGAGGGAGGAGGTAGCCAGGAAGGAGGGAGGGATAGGGGGAAGGGGTGCCTAAGATCTGTGTTTGCTTTCTGCCTCTCTTACTTAACTGACCTTGTTTAAACTGGTGGTGGTAAACTAAACTTACGTTTGTTTTCTCCCCATGTTGGATCTGTTTCTTTGCCTGTAACCGTAAACATCAAGTGAGACCCTCCCTGTCCTAATCTCGATCCTTGAGCCCTTTTCATAGAATTTTCTCCCTCCTTATCCCTAAAGGAAGGAGTGGGGGTGAGCAAGTGGCTGTGTAATTTCTGTTCCCAGCAGGGAAGGTTCAAACTATGACACTCACACTGGTAAATTGACCTTGGTCCTGATACTAAAGCATCAGCAAATGGCCTCAGATCACACAATCAGAGCTACAGAAATACAGTTACTGTTTTCAAAGT